AATTAGCTTTAGAAACTAAAATTATGCCAGCCATCAAACACGAAACTGATTTAGACCTAGAAGGTAGAATTTAAAAAATAGCTTAGAAAATTGATTTTAAAAAAAAAAAAAAAAAAAAAACAGGGGAATTAGACGGCCAGTGCAGAAGATCTGCTATCTGAGTAATGAGAGTTTCCTTTAAAAAAAGAAAAGAAAGAAAAAAAGAAAAAGAAAAGGGGTAGAGGATATCTAGGAAAGTAATTTAAGAAAGTGACGAGATGAAAGCTCGTTATTGCAAACAGCTAATTAGAGCTGAGACATTAGTTGCAAATATAAGGACATGAGTTCAAGCCCCAGAACCCATGGGGACACACACAGTCTGCCATGATGGCTCTTTGTAATCCCGGTTCTGGGGAGGAAAAGAGAGCTGGATTCATTGGAGCTTGCTGGTCAGTCAGCCTAGGAATTTCAAGAGTTCCCAGCATTGAAAGACCCTGCATCAAGATAAAATAAAAAGTGAATGACACCTGAGGAATATCATGTGAATGTGAGGCTGTCCTCTGACCTCGACATGCATGCACACATAGGCACACTCACCCCGTACACACACATGTGCACCTACACACACTCATGGGTGCACATCCACACTCAAAAAGAAAACAGCTAAGTAAGAAAGGGAAAGAAAGCCAAGTACAGCCCAATGACAAGTGTGTGTCACAAATCCTGTTTAACATAAACCCATGAACCTCAGTTTCAATTAAAAAAAAAAAACTATGTAGGAAGGAAATAAAGTCATAGTGTGTTACTCAGCCCAGGACGATAGCACTTAAGCAATGTAAGTGTGGAATAATGAGCTCAGTAATTGTCACCAAGCCAAACATGGAGCTTTAGAGGATGACTCTGTGAAAGACCGGGAAGCAAATGACGGCTCCCTTATTGGGACATCAACAGATAATGTCTGAAATGGAAAAGTTGAGAAATTGCAATATTAATTAGAACGGGGAAGAAAAACAGAATCTGCCACCAAGAGTCAGAAATGGCTGTCCGTAGGTGTGGTTGGCCGAGTTGGGAGGGAAAAAAGGAAACTGGTATTTGTGACGTGGTGGTTAAAGCTCTTTCACTCCTTATATTTAGATCTTAAATTTTACTCGGTTGTTCTGTGTGTATGTTTGATGTGGGAGGGGCACGTGTGGAGATCATAGGACAACTTTGGGGGCTTCTCTCCTTCCTTCCACCCTGGGATCCAAAGGTTGGACTCGGATTATTATTGGGCTTTCATGGCCAGTGTTTTCGTCTACACAGCCGTCCCACCAGCCCTGTCTGAGCCTTTAAACAGATGTAAATTTTGTGAATTTAGTAAAAATAAAAGCCATTAGTGTTAAGGTGTTATCAGAAACTAAAAATAAAAGAATCATATAAAAGAATGCAAAGGACGCTCATGAATGAAGATATTGTGCCTAAAATTTATTCTATCACTTATCTACTGGTTCAACCAGTTGGTTTTCAGCTGGTTCTTTTGTGCCTCACCCCACCCCCATTTCATTTAAAGTTAGAATCTCACTACACAGTCCTAGAACTCACCTTGTAGAATTGAACTCAGAGATCTGCCCACTTGACTTACCGAAGAATTAAAGTTGTGTGCCACTATGCCCAGGTTCTTTTGCCGGTGAAAACAGTATATTTTGTTCACTTGCATGGACTTTCTTAGATCAATGTCTGTAGTGAATAATCCTTAAATTCTAGAAGAGGTTAAACTTTCCTAAGGAAATTATGAACTCAAAACACAGCTAGGCTACTGTTTTGGTTCCAAAGAAAAGTTCAATAATAATTGTAAACTTATTGTTAGATAAACTTCAGATTAGGAGAAGTATTGATCAAATGATAAAACATTGTTAAATACCATGATAATGGTGATAAGTTTTGTAAAATATCACACACACACACACACACACACACATACACACACACACACATGTGCACATGCACACACACCTACACGTTTCTGGTAGAGAATATTCATTTGTTCAGGCATGCATGATGAGTGGCTACTGAAGCTGAACTTTTCACACAGTTTCTGTTAGCCATAAACAGTGTGCCTTATCTTCTAGTTAATGTGTATCCAGCTTGGCACTCACTCAAATATCACTTCCCAGATCCCAGGTGTGAGGATGGGCACCAGTTGGAGCTGTCTTCTTTGCCCATTGACCTTACAACTAATCCAAAAGTGTAGTTGTAGAAGTGCTGGCCCCAGTGAACTCTGAGTTTGTGCACAGTATTTAAAGCATGTCCTTTTGTTTTGATAACTCTGAAATGAGAGGAACCATGCTGGCTTATACCTATTATGGAATTCCCAGAAAAGAAGTTCCAATGCCTGTCAATAACTACCAATAAATAAGTAAAATACTTGGTGGTTACATATTACAGTAAACAAGGGAAAAGTGAAGTTGAATTTGATATCAAGGTAGGGACTGAATTGTTTCAACTTTTCAGAGTATCTGAATGAGCAGATACCATGCAGCAAAAGAAAGTGAACCATGTGATTGATATGTTATATAAGAAAATTAGATAAGATACATTATATAAGTAAATACATAAATTTTATTTACTAGATGCTATCTCCTAACTCTTTGTCGAGAACAAAATATGTATTTTTTGTACTGACATATCTGCAAAGGGCTACTCAAAAGTTTAATTATGATTATTGGACCATCTCCATTCAGCTCCTACCAAAGTAAATGAATGAATACAGGACATTTTTTGCCTATGTCATAAGCAACAACTTGACAGGCCCCATAAAGTTTTTGGTTGCATGTCTTGAGAAACCACATTTTGAGTTACAAAAATTACAGATCTCATGGCCATTAAAAGTTACAACACCCCCCCACCCCATTAGATATTGCAGTCATATCTAGCTTATTCATTTCTGCCTCCACATTGGGTAACTAAGGAAACAATGATGTCACTGCTCAACAGTGCCCAGAAACTTCTCTGCCTGGACCTCAGGTTTGGAAAGACTGCATTTCTTGCTAGCTCCCACCTCTGCTGCTGGAATAAACTCACACAACTTTTTTCTGACGCACTGATAGGGAAAATGGCAGCCTGTTGTAATATGAGATTGTATTTGTAATAAATTAAATAATATACTACATTGTTTCGAGAAAAATTATTCTAAAGTGTACTATTTCTGAAAAGCCCTCTGCATTTGTAGTAGGAGTTTTCTGATGTACAGCGACAATATGAAACCAACCATGTGACCCCAGGTTCCCAATAATCCTACCAAGCTATGTCCTATGGACCTTTGACCTCTTGACAGCTTTCAACACAACTGAATACATTATTCTGTTTTTCTGTTGTTGCTGCTGTTGTTTTATTTTGTTTTAAAAGGCTAGCCCTTTATTATGGTTTGAACTTGAAATGTTCCTCATGAGTTCATGTTTGGAAAGCTTGGCCTTCAGCTTGTGGTACTAGTTGGATGGCTATGGAGTTTTCACGAGTTGAGGTCTCATTGTCAGGACTAGATTACTAGGGGTGGGCCTTTGAGGTCATGCCTATTCCTGGTTCTGGCCCCCAGAGCTCTGCTTCTGGATGTAATATGACCTCATGCTGATGCCCCAGTTACAGCAGCCTAAATTGCCCCTGCCACAGCGCTCTCTCCGCCACGATGGACTGAAATCCTCTGAATCCATAAGTCAGAATAAATCTTTCCTCCAGCAAGTTGCTTCTGTGAGGCATTTGGTCACTGTGTGAGAAAAATCACTGATAATTTGCCCCCAAAAGTAAAGCCCACAATGAACACTTGTGCATGGGGGTGTTATTTGGACAAAGAACTTATTGAACATCAGAGGGCTACAGGTGAAGGCAAAGTTATGTTTTGGAGGTGTCCACAATTGAAGATGTTTCCTGAGGAGCCTTATGTGCCTCAAAACTGTCTTTGAGGGGCTTGAAAGGAAGCGAGTGTCTAATAGGTCTTATCCCTCAAACCTCTGGGGCGGACTTACAGATGTCATCTGCTCAGCCCTGGTGTGTGCATGAGTGCTGGTGGATTGCTGAAGATTCGTACCTCAAGGTCAGAGAAGCAAAGGGCACGAAGTGGAAAGTACCTGATTTCTGCTAGGAGAGAGCAGGTGTGTGGCCTTGCAGCAGCAAATGTAGTTTAGACTGAACCAACAGGAAAGGGAACGTTCCACTCCCCACACAAAGCTCTGGAGTAACTGACTGAGGGATTAGCAGTCACCTGCTAAGATTCTCCTTCATTGTCATTGTTAAGCTTTTCTGCCACATGACTAAACATTGTCCCAGCCCATTGATCACCTGCCTCTGTCTGCCAAATTGCAGCCTGTGGGCTACCTGAAAGTTTCTTTCCCTGCAGTTTTACCTGGCAGCTTCTAAAATTTTCACTAAACTTTATTTACCCAAGGATGTCTCTTCTAAACATAACAAACAATCCTACTTACAAATTATCTTCCTGTTATGCATCTGTATGATGTTCTGCTCAGCATTTACCACTGTCTGACATTTTCTTGCTTACTGGTTTTGTTGAACTCAGTGAGACAAAGATTCTCTCTGTCTGAGTATGGACAGCGTTAGCCACTTGTGGATACCATCATCATCATCACCTTCACTGTCATCACCACCACCATCATCATCAACACCATCCTCACCATCATCATCACCATTACCACCATCGTCATCATCAACACCATCATCATCATCACCTTCACCACTATCATTGCCACAATCACCACCATCCACATGCTCAATCTTATTTCTCCATTTACTAAAGTAGCACACCGAAACTGCCAAGCAAATGCTTGTTTTATTTTCATACTGTATCTTCATCTTCTCAATTTATACTTGAAACTCCTCTCAATCTGAGTCTTAGACTTTCACCTGGCTTCATCTCATCTCATCTTCTTTCTCTTACAGCCTGGGAACATGTGGTAAGGCAAACACCTTTACTGTAGTCATCACACAGAATATTAGTTATGTCTCTGTGGGTGTGATAGAAAACCATGACCAAGGCAACTTTAAAAAAGTTTATTTAGGCTTATAGGTTCAACAGGTTAGAGTCCATGATGGTAGAGTAATGGCATGGTGGCAGGGGCAGAAGCCAGGACTCATATTTTGAACTGCAAGTAAGAAACAGAGAAAAAATGGACTCAGAATGGCATTAGTTTTTGAATTCTCAAAGCCTGCCTCCAGTAACATCGTTTCTTCAACAAGGCTACCCTCCTGAGTCTTCCCAAACAGTGTTACCAACCAGGAACCAAATATTCAAATGTAATAGCCTATAGAGACATTCTCATTCAAACCGCCACACTCAGGTCATGAAATGGACACAGGAACCCCATCATCCACTCCTGTAATCTTATTATGGGCTCAGAACTGGCCATTCATTGACTTACGGTAGTATTTTCTCTATGTTCTTGTATGACGTTCTTATCCATGTTGAAGCCTTTTACTTGATAGTTCAGTCCTTACACTCTGTAGTTTAGTCTGGACCAATTCTTTCTAAATCTTTTTATTTCCTCCATAATTAATCAGCGGACCCTTCTGAGTGTTCCCCATGCTCTAGTTCTGTTTGGGTTGCTGCTCATCACGGTTCTCTGTGTTCTGGATTCCTTGAAAACTGGACCCAGACACTTGAACAAACCCAGGTTAGGTCCTTCCTACAAGACTGCAGGTAGTTGTGTTGTTCCCCTTATGAGATGTCACCATTGTTCACATGAATTAATTTGTAAGGCTGAGAAATGGTGAAATACAGAAATGGTTCTGCCATTTCGTTTTCTCTCAATAATCGGAATGATTTTTCAAGAGCTGCTTCTTTTCGTCTATAATTTGGTGAGTCAGTAAAACAGATTATGCAGGAAGGACAAGATAAATGTTTGGGTTTTCCTTAGTTTAAAAGTTTCTCCAATGATGGATTAGTCCCATGTCATCCTAAAGTAGACAAGTATTTTTAATATTATAAATAGATGACTGTGTAAACACTTGATAGGACTCAACTCATTGAAATACTTATCTCATTGAAATTCAAAATGTTCTATTTTCAGAACCTTGATGGGTTGCATCCTGTGTCACAATGCTACGGACTTTTGTTATTATTCTTTCTATCTGATACAGCAACACATTCTTGCTTATTTTAAATAGATCTTGCCCCAAACCTAAACTCATCTGTTCCTTCTTCCTGGAAGCTCTGGTTTACTTTGTAGTAAATCATGTTTCAAGACTATGCTTTCGGAACTGGTCATTGTTTCTGGACTCTTTAGGGGAGCAAAAAATATAGTAGTATTAAAAATAAATTACATACTATATAATAAAGTAAAATATATCCTTAAAGTTAAAATACCTCTGAAGTTTACGCTGCCGTGTTTGATTCAGTTTCCTGACGGTAGGACTTTTATTTAGCCTCCTTTATAGCCACGTCTCTTTTCTTCTACACCATGAGTCTTGGTTCTCAAAAACTCAAGAGATAAGAGAACAAGGATATCCTGCAATAGTGCATGTCCTAGTCTCAGAGCAACAATTCTAATATTATCACCAAAAATTATTACTAGAAACAGTTAAAGGCATTTTTGTGTATCCTCTATTTGTACTTCTCCACTTACAAAAGATTTACTCCTTTTTATACATATGAATGTTTGCCTGCATGTGTTTTAGATACCATGAGTGTGCAGTACCTGAAGATGCCAGAAAAGGGCCTTGGATGCCCTGGAACTGAAATTATGAATGGTTTTGATTGCCATGTGGGTGATGGGAACTTATCCCATGTCCTCTACAAGAGTAGCAGTGCTCTTAATGACAGAGCCATCTCTCTGGCCCCTGTTCCTCCATTTTAAACCTATATTATAGCATAACTTATTACTTTTTGATTTTTAGTCTTAGTTCTACAAGTAATTATGTATTTGATGTACATAATCAATCCATCATTTCATTCAGCTCAGTTCATTGCTGTTAAGTTTCTCTTTAAAATGATTACATTTCTTTAATTGTGCGTATATGTATATGCATGTAACAGTACACATGTGGAGGTAAAAGGACAATCTGTAGGACTTGTCTGTCTTCTTCCACTTTGTGGGTCCTAGGTATTGAACTCAACTTGTCAGGTTTGGTTACAAAATTTCTTGACTCATCAAACCATCTCATTGGCCCTGGATTATTTTTGTTGTCTTACTGTGTTGTCCTATTTAGTAGAGTACTAAAGAAACACTCATAGGAATGACATAAAGTTCTCACATAATGTTAATAGTTTACACACACTTTTTATAATTGAAGATATGTTTTGCTAGATGCAAATCCTGAATATGTTCCTTGGGTAACATCTTAAATATGTGTTACTTATGTAAATCTTAAATATGCCATTCCATTTCCCCTTGCCATAAAACATTGCTGTCAAAATGTCTGATTGTAATCTAATTTTCTGCCCCCTTTGGGATAGATGCCCAGGAAGTTTTTTTTCTTCTACTTAGACTGTTGAAAAGCTGGGTGTGGTAGTTTAAACCTATAATCTCAGTACTTGGAAATCTGAGGCAGAAGGATTATGAACTGTAGTTTGGGTTACATTGTGAGACACTGTCAAGAATGAAAGTAACAATCAAAAAAAGAGTTAAAGGCTTCAACATTTTACTTTAGGAAATACACTTAAATCATATTTTTTCACCATTTGCTTTATTACCTGATGTGGGATTCCCCTCTGTATGCTGTGAACAATATTGGTTAATAAAGATACTCTGTTTTTCTTCAAGAACATCTATTGTCCAGATTTTGGATCATTCTAACTTTTTTTCATATATTTGGTTTTTTTCCTCCCCCAGCTACTTCCATATTCTCCCCACCTCCCTACCCACCTTTCACACACTCTCTCAAAAACAAACTAAGAAAAAAAAACCCAAAACAAACAAACAAAAACCATTAAGACAAACAACAACAAGAACCAACCAAACAAGAAGCTCATCGTGTTGGCCTGCCATGAGTGTAGTTGATAGACCCCATAATACTCCATGGGAGGCCACCATAACGATCACACACATAGCTTCTGGGCTAGAGGTGGGCTTTGTGCCCACTTCCCCTTCTCTGTGCTGGGGTTTTGTACAGCTCCTATGCATGCTGTCACAGTCTCTGTGAGTTCATAGTCATGACTGGAAGATAATGTTTCCTTGGAGTCATCTGTTCCCTTGGGCTGTTACTATCTTTCTGCCTCCTCTTCCCCGTAGATCCCATGAATCCTGAGATGGGGAGGGGTTTGATGGAAACACCACATTAGGACTGAGTGTTCCAAAGTCTCTCAGTCTCTGCACATTGTCCTCCTTCTCTGCTTGTTTTTAGCATTTAGCACTTAACACATTTTTCCCACGTAATATTTTTATTGATTCTCTGGGAGTTTCCCATCATACACCTGATTACAATGCCTTTGCAGTCCATCTGTGTTCATCCTCCTCATAATCCCCCAAAAAGAAGTAAAAAAAAAAATCAAAAATTAACAAAGAGAAAGTCTACTTTGTGTTGTCTATATTCTCGCTGGAGTATGGTCCAATTCTCAGTGGCCTGACCCTTAAATAGACTGAGTCCTTTTTCTCCCATGCTTTCACCAGAAGCCATCCGTTGTGGAGACCTGTTCTTCGGCATCTATCTATTGACTTCTGCATGACCCTCAGTGGTGACATGTGCCACAGACATCATCCCAGTCCCAAGCAGGGCACAACTGGGTGGGTGGGTGGAGCAAGGGTGGTCACAGTCCAGGGTAACCAAGCCCACCCTGGGTGGATGGGGGGGATGTCAAACTTTTTTAAAAGTTTTTAAATTGTTTGCATGTGTTTCCTTTTTTCCTTTTTTTATTTTTTAAAATCAAGGTACTGGCTGGAGAGATGGCTCGGTAGTGAAGAGCACTGGCTACTCTTCCGGAGGACCCAGGTTCAATTCCCAGCACCTACATGGCCGCTCACAACTGTCTGTAACCTCAGTTCCTAGCGAGCTGGCGCTTTCACACAGACACACATGCAGGCAAACACCAACTCACATAATAAAATAAATCATAAGACAAAGGGAAGAAGGAAAGAAAGAAATCAAGTGCCAGTTTGCTTTGATATAAATCTCATGCTGGCTTTGAACTACATAGAGCAAGTTCTCCTGGAACTCATCAACCTCCTGCCTCGGTTTCAGGAACACTAAGCCTGTGCTACCATGTCCAGTTTCCTCTTTCTTTTAATAAAAAAAAATTTACTTTCTCCTTCTGCTGGTTTATTCTTTTTTTAATTTTAAAATATTTATTTATTCTGTATACAATAGTCTGTCTGTGTGTGTGTCTGCAGGCCAGAAGAGGGCACCAGACCTCATTACAGATGGTTGTGAGCCACCATGTGGTTGCTGGGAATTGAACTCAGGACCTTTGGAAGAGCAGGCAATGCTCTTAACCACTGAGCCATCTCTCCAGCCCCCCTGCTGGTTTATTCTTTTGCTCTTTCTCATTTACCCTTCATTTCTAAAATGATTTTTCCTTTTATTATATTCTTTCCTGAGTTCCATTATCTAATTTTTCTAATTTTTACTTACAATGTTCTTTTGTCACCATGTCTTGGTGTCTTCTAGATCATTCTGATGAAGTCAGCTACGGCTTGGGCATCTGAGGGGATGTTATTCTGCTCCTTGTCCAGGTTGACGTGGTTAGCACATGTTTTGACTTTGGGTTTTTCCTGTTACCTACTTTGGTGTGAAATCCATCCCCTCCACTGTGAGAAGGCCTAGTTCATACTTCCTAGGATCACTTTTGGTCCCTGCAGTGCTAATAACATGTTAGCATGCATTCTTAACTTCCTGCTGCTGCGGGAGCTCCTTCCGCTCCTTCAGCCAATAGTCACTGAGATACCAGCCCATTGGGGCGTGGTCTCTCTTTAAATAAGCAGCGGCTGTCCTCCACTCTCTTTCTGGCTTCCGGCTCTGCTTCCGGCTCCTAGACTCCTTTCTTTTTTTTTTTTTTTTTTTTTTTTTTTTGATTTGGGACGGTAATCTATAAGTTTTTTCCCCTTTGAATAAATAACCTATTAATCATAATTCAAAACTGGTGTGGGATTGTTTGTGGCTTACACCTTCATCCTGCTTTTGTCTCTCTCCCTAATTTCACCTGGACTGTCTCTGCCCAGAACTCCATTGTCCTCGTCTATCTCATTTTTCATTCCTATTCGGCCATCTTGCTTCAGTGTCCAGCTCTGGACTTGGGAAGCCCTGTGTAGACTAAGTTCACAGACTCTGACCTCTGTGACTGACCACTATTGGTGCAGATAAAACCCTGTGGATTTCAGCTGGTACCTTCCATTCATCACACTCTGCTTATAGCGAATGTCCCTGGGCAGTTTAGAGATCTGTCACCTGCTGTCCTGTCTGGCTTCCCTCATCCTTACCCTCCTCACCAAGACTAGATACATATGTGGTCCCTGGTAATCGCCCACTGTATCGTGCCTTCTTGGACTGCCAGCCCCCAAAACATGACACAGAGACTTATTATTAATTATAAATGCTCAGCCTTATCTTATGCTTGCCCCGCTAGCTCTTATAACTTAATATAACCTATTTATTGACATTTTGCCTCAGGGCTTTTTAACCTTTCTTTCCTTCTCTATGTCCTAGTTTCCTGCTTTCTCCATGTCTGCCTGACTGGCTGGCCTCAGAGCTCTCCCTCTCCTTCTTCCTCATTCTCTCTTCTCTAGAGCCTAGATTCCCCCTCCTCCTTAGTCTCTCTGCCCACCAGCCCCGTCCGTCCCTTCACTGCCTAACTTAACCTTTGTGTTCTTTATTAGACCGATTAGGTGCCACAGGCAGGCGAGGCGAAAGAGATGCAGGGCATCTTTACATAGTTAAACAAATGCAGGACTCCTTTACACAGATGCAGTAATATTCTGCAACATAAACAGATGTAACACATCTCGACACAGTTAAAGGAATAGTCCACACCACTTGTTTGCTGGCATCCGTAAAGATCCCCTATCACCATGTAAATATCATCCTATGCTCTGTTTCCGGGAGGGGATTTGGTTTCGATGGACGCTGCCACCCTGCTGTGGCATTCCCAATTAGTCATTTTAGGCCAATCGGCCAAATCTTTCCTTCCATTAATCACTTGATATTTGATTGAAATGAAAAAATTGTGTGAGTCAACATGATCATATTTTACTTTTATGGTGATAAAAAACCAAAGGTTTTCCTGTTTCCTGCCAGCTCACACTGTAACATTTTTCTTGGGGCTTTATTGAAAATGGAGCCACAGAGTGAAGGGTATTGCCTTTATTGCCTCTAACGCAACACTTTCCAGGTAATTAGAGCACATAAATGTGCATGTCAGAGAGCTGAGAGCTTTATCAATCACTGTGCTAAGTTTATAAGGTTCACCCTAGTGCATTAGTTTTGGAGGCCGTTCAGCTTGTGACTTCACGCGTAGGTGTTAACGACTGGACACCTTTACCCATTGGTTAAAGGAAAACAGCTTCTCACATTCATGACTAAACAGACTAGAGATCCTGAGAAATATTACTTAAACCTTTGCTAGGCGGTCTCCTCAACTTCCACATGGCAGAATGAATGACTCCTCTACCTAGTGCTCTAAAACAATACTCACCCAGAGCAAGTGTTAAAACCAATTTCAGATCCTCTCACTAGGCAAGAGTAGCCTTACAAAACTAAACCATACAGCTAATATTTTTATGATTAAAAAGAGAACATTTAGAATTTATTTTTATGTGAAGTCCTCTATGAGATACTTTCTTATTCTGCATCAAATTATAAAATATCTTCTTAAAAACTATGTTATCATCAATAAATAGCAGGATAGACATAAAGAGACACGCTAGAACAAGCTTGGAAAAATGGTAGTTAAAGAATCAAGATAAGAAGCGTAGAGATTTTTCTATAGGATTTCTTTAACTTTGCTGTCTGCTTGAACATGCTTGCAATGCGATATCAGAATAAACACTATTGTAAACTCTAAATATCCATGAAAGAGAAATGGAAATCATTTTATTCTAGAAGTTTCTTGTTTAAAATCAGACTTTGTAAGACACAGAAGAATTCCAGCTTCAGAGTTTCTTCCTATGGATCTATGCACATTTTAATTCCTCTCATCGAATGAGAGTTCCTCAAAAACAGGTTGTATCTGTTCGTTCTTTACGGATGTTCTTCATCCAAAATAACTCCAGGAAGGAGGTTTCCTTGATATAGGCTTAAAATAAAACCCAATTTAAAAGACTCTGGCTGACTGAGACGGGTGCCAGGAGACACTGGGGTAGACGGCAGTTCCTTCCCACCTGCGCTTGCGCTCCACATGGCGCTGGTTTTCAGCTTGCACGGGAGAGAAGATTATGGTTTCTGCACAGGCTACAAGAAGATTTTGGGAAAGATGACAACATCCTGACTACTTATTCCTAGAAATGGGCGTGGTCCCTCATGGTTAGAGTAAAGGTCAGTGACTAGCGCTCCAGGGCTACTGTGTGGCTTAGGTAGCTAGGTGACCAGGAAGCGAAGGAAGGGGCTGTGCTTCCCGCTCTGCAGAAACGTCTACTCAGTACCGGCGGCTTGAGGGACATCTTAGATCAGCTCGTCAGGAATGGACATGGTTGTTTTCAGAGGGAGAGCTTTTTGTAGGAATCCTAATGATGTTCCATCAATGAGGTTCACGAGTGGTGACCAGGAAATCCAGGTGGGGAAGGAGTAGACTGTGGATCACCATGGCCGTCCGGCAGTCTGTCGCCATGACTCCTGTGGCTGCTCATCAGAGCATATCCGGTATTCTCTGAAGACGTTCACTCTTTGAGAAGAGCTTCCTTCAAAGCCCTTGAGGTAGAATGATTGTCTTGGAAAAGTACAGCAAGTGGATGGGACGGGAAGGGGAAGAAAGGCCCCGTAGCTCGAGGTCTAAGTTGATCACGGAATAGGTCCCCCCTTGAAGCAAGCAGATGGGTCTCCTGTTCTGCCCTGGCCATTGGCTGAGGTTCACCCCTAACTGTGAGAGGCCCCTCAAAGCTACTCTTCGGAGAGAAGGGCAGTTGTGTCTCAGTGGCCCTGGCATGGCCAAAGAAGGGCGGGGCATCAAAAGCAAGTCCCAGTGCCTGCTCTCTCCGGGAGATGGCTTCTGAGTTATTATAATAAGTATAAAGATAA